ACCTCCACCTCCCCCACCACCCCCTGGTTGTGGGCGCCCACCTCCTCCGCCTTTCTTTGGGGGCCCGGGTGGACCCCCGCCTCCCCCTGCATTACCTGTCGTCAAACTGCCTTATGGACTGGAGCCCAAGAAGACCTATAAACCTGATTCTGTGATGAAGAGGGTCAACTGGACCAAGGTATGGTAACTCGAGCTTTGTTCACTGCAGCATACACTACCAGTAAAACGTTTGGATGCACTTTCCCAAGGGAAATATCATCCCCCAGTTATGTCACATACCATGATGTAGTTTTTTTTTTCTTTTTACAATCACATTTAGCACTGACTTTTTAAAGAAATTTTGAGTAGCACTACACAATATGAAAAGTCAGAGTTGAAGATTCAAACCAAAAGGATGTCTATTCAAATGTGCTCTTAATCTAGTCAAACAACTTCAGCTTCAGGCCGCACTATTCCGCACTCGGCACCCGTTTCAAAGGATTCAACAATCAACAATTTTCACTGCTCAAATGCCCTTGGATTTGCACATTCTTAGCACAGTTGGATGAAGACTGGGTTGTGTAATGATCCATCACATTTGAATACAATTTCAATAGGACATTCTCTTGCGTCCTGATTCTATTATACCATAGATAATTTATCTATCACCTTGGGACTTTTTAGCATTAATTTAACGGTTCTTTGCCGACGCTTGTGGTACCTTGTGTTTGATCTTCAATTACTGACAGCAACCAAAACATCAGACTAGTTATTTTGTCATCATGTTAGCGGTGCACATTATATTTAATGGTTATGGAGGAATCAGGTGATGTTAAAAATTAATTTCAAGTGGTTTTTTTATAATTGTTTCTTCATATTTTTGTCATTTTTCCTAAAGAACAATTAAACAATTTGTAGCAATAATTTTTTTCCACAACAGTCCACCAAATTACAAACCTAAATGGGGATAGATATTTGTAAATGCAAGTTGGTAAATATAGTCACTATAGATATTGTAAGGGCATGTTACAGGTTGAATTTTCTGTTATCTCAAGGACCCTTTAAAGTGCCCGTATGGAAATGGAAATGCTTCACGGTGTGTGGGAGTGAGCACTGGGTAAAACATTTGTGTCATACAGTAATATGGTCATATTCATACTGGTTTTGTAAACAACTATGTTTTTTTGTTTTGTGGCTGTGTCTATTTATGTCTTGATAGTTTAATTACTATTGCTCATTTTTTCTGTGTGGTGGTTTTGCATATATGATTTGTGCACGTGCAGTGTGGTGAAAATACCCATGGCTGGAAAGTGCACAGAAAGAGGTTATTGTGTAGGTGCATTAACCTTGCCTCCACAGGAATCGTAGTTTGGTGATGCAAATGAAATTCATAACCTGAGGAGAAACAATCTGTGTCGATTAAGTGGGACAAGAGTCATCTGTCTTCTGTGTGCAGCAGATGGAAGTATAGGAGTGCCAGGAGCAAGTATGATTTGGTTGTATAAAAAGGGAATATGCTTTTATTGTTAGTGTGATTTTCTTTTCCTTTACCTATATCCTCTCTATCCACTACCCCTTACATGTCCAACTAGAGTGAGTTACACAGATATGATGGTGGCAAACCCTTTATATTACTGTCATCATAAAGTAAGAAATGAATACTAGACTATTGAGTCTAGTCCACAACTTGTTGCTTCATAGATGATCTCCACTTACATATCTTCAAGCATATATGCAGTAAAACCTATACACTTACATACTGCATAGCTGAAATAAATAATTTTACAATTTCAATTGCACAGCTACCTACTGTAGTCCTATAAACAAGCAAGGGATGTGGTTACAGTGCATTCTTAGTCACAAGCAGCTGTACAAGAAATTCACGTGGAACCAGCACAGCACAGTCTCACACTGCCAGCTCTCCCTCAGTGCTAAATGTATTTTAAATCAGCTTGAGTAATAGTTTGGACCTCTGTGTTGATGTGTCAGTTCCACACTAATGTCATTGTGGCCATTTAATTTTGAACTGTAAAAACAGAAATCATGATAATGTGCTAACAGTTTATTGGCTTTCCTGATCAGACAAGAAAGTTATATAATGTTACCATGCTGATTAAAGATATCTGTACACATGTGGGAACTGTAGAACAAATGGCAGCAAGGATGCAGTGGGATGAAGGATAATAATAACCTCTTCGTATAGCACACCATGAGACACAGTTCATGTTTGAGCTGGACATGCCATCTTTATTCTTCATCCCAGGTGCTGCACACTGGACTGAATGTCAAGTAACACAATGTTGAGGAAATGAAATTGCTTCAAAAATTCACAAAGAAACTTGCACCAGGAATGTGCACAGCCCGTTAGTGATCCTCAGTGTGTTTGTCTCCTCACCCAGTCTTGTGCCTGTTCACACAGTTTTATTTGTTCCTAATTTGTTTTTATCTCTCATTATATTTTTGGATGTATCTTCATAAATACTTTTTGAGTAGGCCTTTAAAAAAACAAGTTGACACATACTTCAGTTGATAGTTTCTAAGTGACTTTAGTGTTTTATTTATCTGCAATTCAAGACCCGACTTAAGAGGATGATGGGCTGCGACTACCAGGCAGATTGTTATGTGTTATTTTCTAAATTCACAGAGTTGGAGGTGAGAAATGTTGCCGTTTCTAAAAGCGTTATTCACTGGGGTTGTTTTAGTTGTATTACTTTCCTAGTCACTAAATATTTTAGGTTGTTCAACATTTGTTTGGGGTATTGCTGTGTAGAGTTTAAGCTTTGATTGTTTTGTTTTTTTTCTGAATAGCAGATAGATTTAAAATAGTTTTTTTTTTTACAAGCCTCACACTTTAGTGAGATATTTTAGTTCAGCTGGCTGTTTGCTAATAAAAGCCAGTTGAGGTATGACGGCTCATTACAAATGAGCGTGTCAGAGATGAATAGGAGTGGCAGGCTTTATTTTTTTTAAATAAAAATCTTGTAAAATATTCTGAAAATGAACATGGGTTAACTTGGACGTTTGTGATTGGGCCTGCTGTAACATGAGCTGTTCCTATGTATGCTGCGTGTATTATTGTTATTATTATTAGTAGCAGTAGTAACAGTAGTAGTAAAATGGTGAAATATCCATGGAATTAATCATTACAAAATACATTTGTGTCTCATTTACTGTTTCACAGTTTTCTCTGAATTAGATTATCACAGACATGACTGCTTTTTAGGACTCTGAGTGGATCAAGTGGGAGCAAATAAGAGTACAGAGGCACTTTTTTTTATACACACTCAACACCAGCTCATGTCATTAGCTTTCCATTAAAGCAGCTATTGTTGCCATTATAGGACGTTGCAACACTATTAGGCTTATCGCCGTTACTATATGGCCTTGAGGGTGATTGCCCAGCATCAGACAAACTTGTTTGTCCGTGCTGCGTAAGAGTTGTGCGCCTGTGCTGTGGTTTTGATAAGGTTAATGACAGCGGTGCAACAGGCCGACCGCTTGTCCAGACCCTCAGTGGAAAAAACATAACAGAGTCACACTAAGAGCTCTTACCATAGCACTTAACACATTGTACAGCAGATGTATTGCAGTGTCACTTGCATTATTAGCTAGTATTAACTGCACAATGTGAGATGGTTTGTGCATTCTTTCTCATCCACTGAGCGGTACTGAAGGAATGAGAGAGTTTGAAAGCATGCCTGTGGCCTGCTACCATCTCAGTGTGCGTACGAGCGTGGTTGCTTCTTACAAGCTTTCAGGCAAATCTAGGGTAGGAGGAGTGTTCCATACACACAAAATCATGCACTATGGCCATATTTATATAATGTATCATCACATGAACAAATGTATCTCAGCCTTCAGGTCCCCGTTTACTTTTCTGGTCTTTTTGAGTTTGTCCTTTTTGCACTTAGATATTAAGGATACATGCACAAGGGCATGTGTGTGTCCACACACAGAAAAACACACATAAACCCCATCTCCAGTGAGAAGAAATTTTTGAGTGGCAGGTTGGTGGAATGGCGGTCTCTGATTGTGGTGATAATGGAATCCTTGTGTCATTGCAGATAGTGCCTCAGGAAATGGCAGAGAATTGCTTCTGGATCAAAGTCAAAGAAGAGAAGTTTGAGAGTCCTGACCTATTTGCTCAGCTCTCCCTCTGGTTCTCACAGAGCAAAGGTAAGGCGGCGTCATCTCTCTTCAACCCTTGTTCAATTAATCTACACACACGCTTCATTTGCTTCTGCAGCAGTAGATGCCAAGCCCCTTTCATTTTTTAACACTTAAAGAAACCATTTTTTCTCACTGAAATTAACATTTCAGTGAGAAAACCAGGCGCTTTTCTACTGCAGTTGAACACCGTCTATGAATTCTCTCAATTCAAATCCTTTGTGCTAATTAGGACACCGGTGCTCTTACTGCAGAGTGTTTGTTTGCGTCTTTGAGAAAGCTATAAATGCATTGTGACTGTGCGTTGTCTTTGTTCTTCGTATCCACTGAGCAGTTTCAGATCAGTGTTTTAATGTGCGCCCGTGGGTGCGTGCAAACCTGAACTTTTACGTATTGTATATGTGCGAGCTGTTATGCTTGGTTTGCTTCTTGCCTTTTCTAGTCCAGTAGACCAGTCCCCCAGTGCGGAGAATGGAAGGCTTTTGTGAAGGAAGCTCTGGGATTTTTCTTGTCCCCGTCTAGCTTGTTTCTCACATATCCGACCGGGCTACCTAACTTGCCGATGAATAACACAAACAGTACAGAGCCAGTTTGTGTTTTTATGGAAGAGGGTTTGTCAAGGCGCTTGATGTATTCCTCCCATGACAGTCTGAGTGTTAGCCACTTCTTTGACTGGGTGTGCGTGCGTGTGTGTGTAGTATACCCCTCTAATTCTAGCAGCAGTGGGAGGGGAGAAGTCAGAGCTCTGTCTACTGCAAAACAGTCAAATCTGAGCTCTGTCAGGGTGTGTGGACATAACGATACAGAGTCTTCCAGCTTTTCCAATTTACCCACCATGTGTTTGGACACCAGTCAGCCCGCCAGCAGCTTCTTGCTTTGTTGTTCTCACAGCATCCTGGTCAACAAACTGGGCTCATCTCTTTTTGTTCTGTGAATTAAATAGCAATTTCCACTCGGCTGCCGCAAGGTGATTTTCCGGCATAATACAGATGGAAGGAGAATGTGGGTAGGAAAGAACAGTTGTTGTGAGGCTTAATGAAGTGGCAAGCAAAGGCCTGGCAGTCGTGCCACTCTTTCACCAGAGGATATCTGCCAGGCAGTGTATTTTCTAAACTGTGCTCTGTGGCATTTCTGAAATAACTGACAGTCTAATCTTTTTTTTTTTTACACATTCGCAGTACCTATTTATTATTTAAATCTTCATACTTTTATTTTATTGATTCATAAATTCAAGTAATAGATGATGAATTTAACATTTAATGCTAGTAAATCAGATATATGTTTGCAGAGCACAGCTGCTATAAAATACAGTGAGATTCTTAAAATGAAATACAGTGTAACATTTGGAGTTTCAGAGACATGTGGCTTTAATTCAGCTTTAAATGTCCTTGTAAATTCTTTATTAAATTCCCTTTCTCACCCACTGGGTGCTCTACACAGCAATACCCCCCCCAAAAAACCCTATGGATAGTCTGTGTACCCTCTGGCAGGATAGGAATTCATGATCCAGCATTTCCCCTAGGAGTTACCTTTGCTGCATCCCTATCAATTATCCCTGCAGCGACTTCACTGAATCAGCTCTTTTGCCTCTATTGTTGAAATAGAACATGATTTGCTCATGAATGAAGAATGCTGTTTAATGTTTGATATCTAAACCCCCCCCCACACACACACACCCACACACACACGCACACACACACACACACTGGTGAAGCTGGAAGTCAATGAGAAAGGCTTTGATGTTGATGGTATTGCAGAAAAAGGTGCTAGATGGGATCTTCTTAAAATGAGCGAGTTCATTTGTTTTTCTCTTTCCTCTGTTTCATCATTCATGCAGTATAGTCTTTCAAACATGCCATCCGAGGATATGTAACACTAAGTGTGCTTGAACATTAAACGTTTTGTCAGAAAGATCTCGCTTTATTCCACTTTGAATCTGATCTGGGTAGAGAGTCTTCCTTCACATCAAGTCAAGTTGTTTTAACTGGTATTAGTGGAGTTTAAAGTGGTGCTGGGGGTCCAGGTGGAGAAGCCGAGGCTTACCAGATTAATTCCTGAGGTCTTGTTGTAACCACGGACGATAAATCCTTTGTGGCTATTTGACAAACAAGGCACTGGTGAAAACTGACTCTGTCTGGGGACACACACATACACACTTTTTCTTTTGCTTCTTTGTTGTATCTCTGTCTTTGCCACATCTTAGACGTGGATATTTATAAGCAAAGCACACTTCAAGGGACTAGTGTATTGTGAAAGATGAGGCAAGCAGGTGTAAATGCCTTCCCTGCAGAGCTGCCCTTAGAAAATGGTGCAAAAAGGCTTCAGTTAACTTCACATTTCTTGGGATTCTTGCTTGTTACTTGCATTGCACTTTGGGAGTGAAGCAGAAAAAAAAGACTTTAATAGCCCCCAATTTTCAGATGCTTATTGTGCTGAGAGGCCTCTAAAACAACTGAGAATGCAAGACTGTCATCTCCCCTGCTGCTTTTATGAGTCTCACTGTTTAATGAGTTTTACCAAGTAAAGGAAATGATAATCAAGAGGGATTTCAAGCTCTGCTTCAGTCTTCTAAAAGTGGCTTTTTATTTTTTTTTTCTTTATCATATATTATGAGATGGTTCTTTGGCCTGATTGAAAACCCAACACATATGGCAGCTCTTAGTTGTTTTGAAGGCCATGGATGCAGCAAATCTCACGGGCAACGCCAACGTAGGTCATACTTGAAAAAGTTTTTAACAGGGGAACAACATGTTTTAAGAAAATCCACGAAGTACACAATAATGTCCATTAAAGCCACTTTTCATAACAGCAACATCCATTCAATTAAATGCAACTAATCAAGCGTAAACCAGGAAGTTGCTCTGCAAAATCTTGTAGCAAGGCAGTTTAGGGAATTATTTTAATGTTGACCTTTTTTCACTACATATATATATGTATTATATATATGTGTACATATTAAAAATACACAACATAAAATATGCCTGATAATCAATGTATGTACTGCACTCCAGTGATGTTGTAGCCACATAGATTGTTTCATACAGTATACGATAAAATATATAATTTCATAAACACACAATATAAACTGAAATATATAAATGTCAGATTTTGTATATTTATCTGTAATGTAACTGCACATACAATTAATCCATTAGCCTTCAGCAGACAATCATGGCCAGAGCCTTTGAAAGTAAATCCAAGGGTTAAACAAAAAGCAGAACAAAAAATAAATGAATTATTACCTTAGACAAAAGAACTACCGCCCACCCACAGAGCTGAGCCATCTGTTATTGGAGACACATCTTTATTTTGCCCTTGCTCACCATCCCAGTTTGTCACATCTTTCAAGCTTGTGTGTGAAACATTATATGGGCCCTGTTGAACAACCTGACCATGCCAAAGATTTATTTTATTTCCAATTAAAACAGTTTCCCCCTGTTGCTTTTTCTCTTGTTTTTCCCACTTTCCGCCTTTGCTTTGCTGTATCTGCTTTTCCCTCTTTCTTTACCCTCTTCTCCATTGACTTGGCTCCCCTTTTTTCTTTTTACCCTCATCTCCCCTTAGTTCGCTTTATCAATCAGTGGGTCGTGCCTTTGTATGGCTCTTGGGATCAAATCAGATTCACTTCGGGATTGAATGTGTGTAGCCATGGCCTGCTGCATTTGAAAGGCAATTCATTCAGCTGGAACTTTGCAGTTCAATTTGAAACAAGATTGATGTTGGCAAACTTTACACCCCCTTTCTTCCAAAATGTTTCCTCCATTGCCCGCATCAATTGCTGACGGACAAAGGGCATATGCCACTTTGTAATGGTGATGTCTGGGTCTCTCAGCAGAAACAACACAAGGAAACGAGAGGTTACTCAACTGCTGAAATCCCTGAGCACCCTATGTATTTCAATATACAGTGCTTTGCTTCTGTAAATGTTAAACTACTGCTGAAGATTAATTACACTAAAGTGGATACAAGTGTTCGTTTGTATTCTGTAGCCCTGTAAATGAATACCTTTAGTCGGACAGTCAGTGACACTCATACTTCTGCAGGAAGAGAGACCTAATGAAGATGCATATACATGCTGAACTGGGCTGTAGTCCACCCCTCCAAACAGGGTTATTGGGACTTGCTTTCCCAGCATGCGTCTGTGTTAATGATGCCTAGGCTGCTAATTAACATGCTTAGCCAAATACCTGCAGTTGAGCTGGGCAGCACTGGGAAAGGTGTTTTGCCCTAGTGCCTCACATGTTGTATTTTCTGTAGTACGTCATATCCGTTGTCCAACTCACAGCAAGAATTTATGACTCCATAATTGTGTAATTTGACACAGCGGCCGTCTTATCAGACAAAAACAATCATCTAGTCTGAACCGGGTATAAAGGTCAGCTCTGGAGAGGTTGTTACAAGTGATGGCTGCTGTCATCCTTCAGTGATCACAAAATGGGATCGCACTCAGTGACAAAAAATTTCTTCAAAATGTTCTTGGCCATCCTGCCTTCATTAGTGTCACTATTAGGATAACGCACCAATTTTTCAGAGCACAGTGGAAACTGTACTAGTAATTTCACTGTCATCCTCCCCCTCATCACATGGGATTTGATCAAATCCTGCAGGAGTCCACCTCACTCTGACATCTGTTTTCCTTTACATTACTCCCTACAACTCAACCTCACACACTCATTCTCTCCACTGAGCCAATGTGGTCTGCACACCAGCAGATTCTCAATCCCTGCTACAAAGCCCCGGCAGCAGGGTGTTAATGACCCTGCCACAAAGGCGGTAATGATGGAATCAGTGGGGGGGCTTAGCTGGCTCTCTGACTCTCCCTAATAAGTCCCCTAATAACTCTGTTAACATCAGGGCTGACCCAGTCACCAGATCAGACACACACACATGGTCGGCCACCTCACATGACACTCAACACCCTCTCGGTCAAACAAGAAAATGGTCGCTTATCAGCAGACTGTGTGCTGGGGGCCCTACAGTGCATGTTCAGTGGAAGTCTGCGGACACAA